CTGGGGTAACCTTCATGTCTGTAGGTCTTTCACAACCCAAAACGAAGCACAAACAAAATGGTGGGTCCCACCTGCTCCTACCATTGGTTTAACTGCAGCAGCTCCTCTCTCATCTTTTTGCTGCTAAAGCACCCCTCCGAACAAACGACTGCTGAGTAAAAACCATAAATGATATCTGAAAAATTCTTTTTATCTAAGCGACAGCTATATCTTGTCTTCAATTGGAGTAACTTTCATGGCTGTAGGTCATCTACAACCTGAATGGGAAGAGAAAGAATAAGAAAAAACGGGTCCTCAGTCCTTAGCTTCTAACTGAGCTAGCTACAGCAGCTCACTGTCACCCAGCTTTCTGGTGCTTAAAATGTCCTCCGAACAAACGACTGCTGAGCAAAAACCGTATGAGTTATTCAAAAGATTCTTTCACCGTGACCGTCAGCCATCCTTCGACTCCAACTATGCCAACTTTGGTGTATGTGTGTCTTTCAGAAAAATATTTATGACGAGTTGAAAACACATAATGTCATTCGTTTTTCTCCCCACTGCTGCTCCAAAACCAATGAAAAACGGCTCTGATTTTGATCGATTTTAGGTCGGTCTGGAGGGTTTTTAAGGAAAAGTATTAATCCTACCGTAATTCCGAAGACATTGTGTGGGTCCAGAGATTTCAGTCTACAAACTGACCAAAAATGGTGACTCTAGCTATAAATATGTGGCCGTGAGGGCGAGTTTAAAATGTTTTTTGGTCTTAAAAAAACGGCTGCCTCACACTCTAGCTTTTCAGTCTCTCCACTCTAGAAGGGTGGATTTTGCTAAAACTTTGTGGCGCTTGAGGTCTGATTATACAAAAACCGTAGCAGTTATCAACATGCCGTCTTCAGTTTTAAATAGACGAAGGATTTATCTACAAACTGAGCTTTAAACTGTTTTTCTACATGAATGTATGCCGACACAGTGAAGTGCTGTTTTTTATGCTTTTTTTTCCCTCTCCCCATTCATTTCCTATGGGATTTTTTTTGCGACGTTTTCGCTAATAATTCGCGAACCTTCGGACTAATGAGAAAGTTTTATACAAGCACGCATCGCACCATTGGTCCCGACGCGTGTGCCAACTTTGGGCCCGATCCGCCAAACCGTGCGGGACTAGTTAGGTGCCGAAGTTTTGGTGGCGAGGAGAACTATAAGCTAGTATAATACGCGGAATAAATATGTGAGATAGTAGTAGGTGGGCCATGCCTTCGGCATGTGGCCCCCCTAATAAGACAAAAAGTCAACTATTTTTCGACTAAAAATCTACTTTTACCTTTTCTTTATTACAAATTACGAGGTAAGACATTAAAGGTCTTCTACTGGCTGTCTGGCAGTTCCATGTAAACATTAGCTGCCAAATATATACCTGGACTGCAATGCCGTTTTTTAGACGCTTTATTGACAAATAATAAAGTATAACGTTTTATATTATCTAATTAATGCCTTACAATTATTATAGATATGCAAACGGCGAGCTAATACTGAATTACAGTGAGGTTTTAATCAGTGAACCAGGCCTGAGGTTTTCTAAGTGTATTTACTACAAAGTCCAGTTTTGAGTTTTTTTTCTTTGATCAATCTAATTGTGAGTTGCAATAAATATTTCCCAGAAATGCACCAATCCAATATTTTTAGGCCCAGGTACCAATCTGATACCTGGGCTTGTCATGTGAGTGAAGGCTTTAGGCTTGACATACATTGTCAAAGAAAGAAAAAAAAAAAAAAAGCTAAATAAAAACCCAGCTCAGATATCATTCTACTTCTAATCAAATAAAATCTACAGTAGCAGCACAAGATTTAAGTGCACTTCCATGTAAACTAAAAACTGCTTTATTTTTGAATGTAAAATAAAACTTAGCAGCTTCCTAAAACTCAGTTTAAATAGCTGTAACTGTATATCTATTTAAAGTAATGATTGGATCAAAATGCTGCATTGATTCCCTCCATGATATCCACCCCAGCTGATTGGTCAATATCAAGGCCGATGTCTGATCCTGGTTTCTTGGATTGTTGCATCTCCACCATTTAGTTGGTTATTAACTGCCCTAAGAGTTTACTTGATTTATTCTTCATCTAAACTTAAGTTTTGCTTGTGTGCTATAAGAAGCTGTTTCCCTGCTGGTTGAGGAAATGGGCCGGATCTTCCTGGATCACATCGGTGGGAGTCGCCTCTTCTCCTGTGCCAACTGTGACACAATTCTGACCAATCGTGCTGAACTCATCTCTACACGCTTCACTGGAGCAACTGGCAGAGCTTTCCTCTTTAATAAGGTGCCCAATAAGTTCTAAAACTAGCTGTTAACTTTAGTTTGTAGCGACTGATAAAGCAGTAATCTTAATGGCTGCATATATCAATTTATATATATACAGAGATCTGTAAAGTAACTTAAGTGTTTGAAGAGATAAATTAAAAGCTAAAAACCTGAATTTTTGGACAAGTAGAAAATCCATTTCCTAATTATGTAAAGAATAGAATTACAATAATTTTAAGCAATGGGTGGGAAAAGCATATATAACCATCTACAACAGAATGGAATATAACAGTACACCGTTTAACCTTTGTTATGAGATTAAAACCAAAAATATGCAAATCTTTTTACATAAGAATAAGTTATTATTGAAAGATATTCATCAATCTGGAGGACAAGGCTATCTGGAGCACAAATATTTTTTACCCCACAAAGTAAAAGGTTGGACTCGAGAATAATTATTACTTTATGAACAATTAGGAATACCACATGTAGTTTTATGTTGGAAGTTTTCTATTTTTAGTCCAATTACAACAAGCAACTGTTGCCCTGCAGGTTGTGAATCTGCAGCACAGCGAGGTGCAGGACAGAGTCATGCTGACCGGAAGACACATGGTGCGAGATGTCAGCTGCAAGAACTGCAACAGCAAGCTGGGCTGGATGTACGAGTTTGCCACAGAGGAAAGTCAGCGCTACAAGGAGGGCCGAATAATCCTAGAGAGGGCTTTGGTGAGGGAGAGCGAAGGCTTTGAGCACATTCCATCTGATGCTTCATGAGTTCACCATCATTGCCAGTGTGCTCAGAGTCATATAGCTTTTCCCTCAAGCAGTAGTTCAACCTCTTGCATGGACAGTGATCACTTTGCAGGTAAAGCTGCGCCAGAAAATTAAAAAAAATGCTTCGATGGGTGTTTGTGGGAAATCCAGAGTTAAACGAGAATGGTGTTGCTTTCCTGCCCATTTTAGATTCCTCCAGTTGTGTTGCAGGGCCAGTAGGGTGCAGTGTTGTTCAGATGGTGGGAAATTAGCTGTTGCAAGAACAAATAGGATTCTCTTTTAAATTAAAGTGCTGAACTCAGAGGTGGAGCATTAAGCTAAATAACCCAAGCTTACGATAATTAGTGCTGTTTGCTTTATTTTTTTCTTTTGTTTCTTTTGTCTTTCTATTTATTTTCATTGTAGTGTTTATTTATTCTATTTAGAGAAAAAAGTTATTATTTTGGGCCTGTTAGATATTATTATTTAAAGTTACTCAAATAAAATACATTTCAGTAGAACAAACTTTGCCTCTGTGAGTTTCCATTTACCAGAATTTGTCATTTCAGTCACATGCATCATTGAGTATATTCTCTGCTAAAATTGTCTTTGAAGTTTTATTTAATTATTTTTTGAACATTTTGTAATTTTCTAATTATTCAAAGGATATTGGATGGCTATGTTTTCTAGCATGAAATGAAACGAAACATTTTTATTGAATCAATTTCTTATTTTGCATTGATTTTTATAATTTTTGTATAACTTTGATGGATTAATCCATTAATTTAGTGAGTGTAAGATATTTTATCTTCTAATTTAGAAGCTTCTAAGAGCAGTAATGTTAGAAATTAAAATATACTCTAATTATTCCACGCATCACTGTTTTGATTCTATAAATGTTAAAGACCTTAGGACTGTATGAGACATTTGAAATTCAGCATTTTTTCCCCGCAGCTTTTATTTCCTTTACATGGTCACAAGTACAGAACAACAAAATGAATTCTGCATTTAACCTGTCTCCTTTAGGAGCAGTGTGGGGTTAAGGGTCTGTGTTCAGGGAGCCAGAGAGGCAGTGGGGCTTGAACTCAGAACCTCTGGATTCCAAGTGCAATGCCCCAACAACTAGGCCATCACTGATGCTGCCTTGTTCATGATATTATTTGTATTAGCATTAGTATTTGTTCTTTAGCAATGTCCTCTGTTATGATATCTCATAACAGTTTGAGTCCAAAGTGAATACATGCTGGTCCCAAGTCTTATAAAATACCAAAAGCTGAAGTTCTTAGAGTTAAACGAACCAGAAATACATCATACTTTATGTTTTTATTTGATAAAAGAAAATAAAATCCTTCTTTTTCCATCCACTGTATAATTACACTATACTATACTTTGTGTTGAATGAATGAAAGTATGTCAAAGAAATGAATTATTCTTTGACATACTTTGTTCTACAACCATAATTGGAAAGAACTTGTGTTTTTTGGAGAAGCTAATAAGATGTCTTAAATCACAATACAAACATGGTACTTGGCTAAGTTGTTAGGTTAATTGTTTGAGGAATTATGTATTTTTTGTGCTCGGATACTTTTAAGCCTGATGACGTTTTTTAAATTTAATTTGGTAAAAATATTAGATATCATTTTCCTTTCACTTCAGTTATGAATGACTGGTATGTCCATTACATAAAATCCAATGCAAATGTAATACAAAAAAAATTCAAGAGAGAATGCTTTTGTGAAAACACACTTTCTTCTCTTGTACGAATATTAAATGGTTGCTTTACTAATGGAAAAAAAAAATTCTGATCATAAAAGAAAAATATGTTTGCACTATGGAAGAGGATTGCTACACAGTTACAACGTCACATGTTGATTTTAATTCCTTTGATTCTTCACATTTTTCACTTTTGAGCAGACAAAGTTTTCAGGATATCTTGGTGTGGAATGCAAACGCACCTTTGTAGTTGCGCTGCATTCTGGGAAATGTAGGAGGAAACCGGGAGGAAGAATTTTTGTTGTAGTGCTGGTTTGGCAGCTTTCAACCTCTGTGTCTGGATAGCTTCTGATAAATATACATGGCATGTAACAATAAGAGGGTAACTGACTTCCTTTCTTCTCGGACGGAGACAAAGCTGTGCGAAAATGGCCGTAGGTAAGTCATTCCCCTTCTTTTTCCTTCTCTAGTTATCTAACGTCAGCCCGACAAGCTAATGCTAGGTCGCGTGAGGGGTTTTAGCTGAAGTTCAGTTATAATAAAGTTATGTTAAAGCTGCTGCACTAAATTCAGACGTTTGCCCTCTAAACCAAACCGTACTTTTCACAATGCCTAAATTGTATATAACTAAATGTTAAACCCTTTCTCTCCAGAAAACGTGAGCGTGGTGTTCAAGGTGTACTGCCTTTCGGTGATGACACTGGTGGCAGCCACCTACACTGTGGCATTAAGGTACACTCGGACCATCTCATCAGGGGACCTGTACTTCTCTACAACTGCGGTCTGCATCACTGAGGTCATTAAATTAATACTGAGCCTCGTAATGCTAGCGAAGTAAGTGCTGGGACCATTTAGTTTACTTCTGCACAATAAAATAAAATAATAATTAAACTTTATTGATCTCACATTGGAAAAATGTACATCTGATTTAACCCACCCCTTTGGGGAGCAGTGGGCTGCCATTGTGCGGCGCCCAGGGAGCAGTGTGGGGTTAAAGGAATAGTACACCCAAAACATGATTAGCCTTAATTTTCTACTCACCCCCATGCTGAACAACACTCCGGAGTACTTTTTTGATATCTCAAATGCATCTGGAGATCTGGGAGGCTTCTTGCTGTCTGCTGACATTCAAATAATGGAGGTCTACGGTGCCCGAGACAGAAAGGTCCATAAAAGTCCACAAAAAACGTGTCAATATTCCTCCATACTGCTCGTCCAATGTATTCCAAGTGTCCTGAGTGGGTAGCATCCAGAATTTACTCGAAACGAAGTCCTTCAGAATAGTTTTAGAGCATAAACAGTAGTGTATAGGATTTCCTGAAAGCGCGCACCTGCGCGTTCACGACGCTACGGAAGCCGGCAGACCAAACCAGATGAAAGTGCGCATTCAGCGTCTGCTCTGCCGATAATGCAAGCGTAGAAGAAGAAATGTGCTGTTTACCTGTGCAAAGAAAGAAACAACGAAAGAAAAATGTCTAAGGACTTCAGTGTTGAGGAAGAGCATGAGTTCTTTGCCGAGCTGAATGCGCACTTTCATCTGGTTTGGTCTGCCGCGGTTTCCGTAGCGTCGTGAACGCGCAGGTGCGCGCTTTCAGGAAATCCTATACACTACAGTTTATGCTCTAAAAACATTCTAAATGACTTCGTTTCAAGTAAATTCTGGATGCTACCCACTCAGGACACTTGGAATACATTGGACGAGCAGTATGGAGGAATATTGACACATTTTTTGTGGACTTTTATGGACCTTTCTGTCTCGGGCACCGTAGACCTCCATTATTTGAATGTCAGCAGACAGCAAGAAGCCTCCCAGATCTCCAGATGCATTTGAGATATCAAAAAAGTACTCCAGAGTGTTGTTCAGCATGGGGGTGAGTAGAAAATGAAGGCTAATCATGTTTTGGGTGTACTATTCCTTTAAGGGTCTTGGTCAGAGAGCCAGAGTGGCAGCCTGTGGGAGTGGGTTACGAACTCACAACAACAGGATTCCAAGCCCTATGCCGTAACCCAGGGGTCGGAAACCCAAACTGCTCAAAGAGCCATATTGGACCAAAAAAACAAATCTGTCTTTTTGTTGTTGCATTGATGAAATAATCGAAACACGATAAAGGAATCTTTCTATTGTGGACGTGTTTCTGTTGGGAGGAGTTAATTGAGCCATGAGGAACCAAGCAGGAATGACATCCATCAGAACAGAGCTCTCTAACCCTGAAATCCCACATCCTCCGTCATCAGTGTTCATTGGTGATATTTATGCTTTTAGGATTTGGGTAAAAAATGGAAGAAAGTTCACATCCCTGCATCAGAGCGCTAACTGTGGGATCTGTGGACGGTTTTCCATCCTTGCAACCAAACTAGCAGCAGTAGTGGAGTTTGAATATGCAGTTCACTTCTTAAATCTATATTTGCGCTCCTCTAATTTATCCAGTTCTGCAATCACACTTTTTCTCTCCCTCCCAGCTTGGTGGACGGCTGCATATTTAGCTTGCCTTTCCAAATTTTTTCTTTTTATTTTTTTACAACCTCTCATTACAAAGCAAAAATGCGGGCAATCCTTCCACATCGCTAATGAAAGCAAATGATTCGGTCCATTCTTTGAATCCTCCTTTCTCATCAGCTATCTTCCTTTTTTCCCTTGGGGATCCATGGACCGAGACACACCTGCAGCTTTGTTTCCCTGGCACTGCGCCACACTGGTTGCAAGTTATGACCACGGATCTCTATGGCTATGACGCAAATTATCATTTAAATTTATTTATTATACAAAAGTTTACAGCATTGGAAGACATAATTCTTTTTTTTTTTTTTTTTTTGCCTCCTGAACACCATATGAAAACAAACAAACAAAAAAGATTTCATACATTTTTAAAAAAGCTCCAGGGAGCCGCAAGGGGGACGCTAAAGAGCCGCAGCTTGCCGACCCCCGCCCTAACCACTAGGTTGCCATTCACCATCAAAGTTATTTTTGTTTACAAGTTCTTAAACAAAATTTGTAATGTCATGGAAAAGATCAATTATTTACATAACTCGGTAAAGAATGTATCTTGTTTTACACAGACCTCCTACTTACAGTGCGAGTTATTTGAAGCATTTATTGCTGGTTGTTTAGATGGGAAGGGCAGCTCACGTTAAGCTGGAATTTATTGTCTGACTATTTCAATTTGAAACACTTAAAAATAATGAAATCAATTATTTTGCAGACACAGTCATTAGGGAACTCGCCTTCCACAAAGAAAGGTTAAGCCACACTAATACAATTGTTAAAGAAGCTAGGTGTTTATATTTCTGTATTCATGTATATTGAGAGAAAGTTAAGTGGAAGAAAAAAACTTGTGTTAGAACAGACAGGTATAAACTATTGCCTTATAGGAATGATTGGAAGAAGATTGGAGAGGCATGGAACCCAAGCTGCATGGACCAATTTTTAAAGTCACTGACAACTTTGGATGATGTGTCATTTGGATGCCTGTCCACAGTGTTTTATCAATTTAAAGGTAAATGCAGCCATCTATCAGGACATTTTAGATCACTTCCCTTATAGAAGTTTGGTCTGATTACGTTTGTCAGCAAATTTGTCTTACTGTCACAAGTTACAGTAACAAAATTTAGTGACCAATCAATGAAATTAATCCTTCCAATAAAGACCCGGCCCCAATTTAGATACTACTCCATTGTAAAGGTGCAAGGCATTTGTGATGCATCTATAGGCTGAACACTTTGTCCTTTCTTTGTCAAACACCCTGACCTCACTAAGGTTATATTAACACTAGGAAAATCTTTTGTTCTACTTGTTTAGTTTGGACCTTGCAGACTTTTTTTTTCATTAAGGACTTGAAGGTATTTTGTATTTAATTCTGTTAAAGCATTTCTCATGTTAAGTTTTCCACCTGTTAAAAAACAAAAAAAGGTGTTGAAATGGTGATGCAGTTGGAAGCACTATTGCCCAGCAGCAAGGAGGTCTGAGGTTTGAATCCCACTGTAGGCTCTTTCTGCAGTGTGTGTGTGTCTTCAGGCGATTGTATGGGTTCAACCCTTGATATTTCAGCCACTCCCCACTGTCCAAACAGGTAGCGGAGGATGAGTCTCTCTCAGTTGCCCTCTGTCATAAGTTTGTGCATATTTGGCTGTCCATTCTGTGCGTCTCTATGTTGCCCTATTATTGTTGGGCAGCAACTCCAGGGTGTAACTTGGCTTTTGCCTAATGGCTGCTGTACAAAGCCTGGTTTTTGTGAACAAACCTGTTCCAGACAGATAAGATTTCCCCAGTTGTATAGATGGGAAGTATTTCAACCAAATGAGTGTTTAAAAAGAAAAAAAGAAAAAGGAAAAAAAAAGGTCAAATTGAAATTAATTTAATAGAATTCATTATCTTTCACATATTTATTTTATGCAACTGAGCTCGAATTCAAATTATGGTGAAATTTACAGAAACCCACATTGCGACTAAACTTGTCAGGTAAAGGAGATGCAGGTCAATCTGTGAGCAAATAATTAACATATTTATACATAAACAAAATATCTATTCTGCTTTACGCCCTATTTACATTTTATCTTTTGGTTTTCATACATTTTATACCTTGAGAGATTGAAACAAAGATTGAAGACCATTGAAACAAAGAAAATTTTTTTCAGCCTTTAGAAGTTCTCCAAAACCTGAAAAACTGAGAGCTGCTGAACTGGTTCTGGCATGTTTTTTTTATTACAATGTTCTCTTCATGCTTTGCTCACCACATGTCTGTTACTGCATACAGGTGCTGGTCATAAAATTAGAATATCATGAAAAAGTAGATTGATTTCAGTAATTCCATTTAAAAAGTGAAACTTGTATATTATATTCATACATTACATAAAAACTCATATATTTCAGATGTTTATTTTGTTTAATTTTGATGATTACAAATGACAACAAATGAAAATCTCAAATTCATCATATCAGAAAATTAGAATATTACTGAAGACCAATAAAAACAAAGGATTTATAGAAATGTTGGCCAACTGAAAAGTATGAACATGAAAAGTATGAGCATGTACAGCACTCAGTATTTAGTTGGGCCTCCTTTGGCCTGTATTACTGCAGCAATGCGGCGTGGCATGGAGTCGATCAGTCTGTGGCACTGCTCAGGTGTTATGATAGCCCAGGTTGCTCTAATAGTGGCTTTTAGCTCTTCTGAATTGTTGGGTCTGGTGTATTGCATCTTCTTCTTCACAATACCCCATAGATTTTCTATGGGGTTAAGGTCAGGAGAGTTTGCTGGCCAATTAAGAACAGGGATACCATGGTCCTTCAACCAGGTACTGGTAGCTTTGGCACTGTGTGCAGGTGCCAAGTCCTGTTGGAAAATGAAATCTGCATCTCCAAAAAGTTGGTCAGCTGCAGGAAGCATGAAGTGCTCTAAAACTTCCTGGTATGTGGCTGCGTTGACCCTGGACCTCAGAAAACACAATGGACCAACACCAGCAGATGACATGGCACCCCAAACCATCACTGACTGTGGAAACTTTACACTGGACTTCAAGCAACGTGGATGAAGTGCCTCTCTTCTTTTCCTCCAGACTCTGGGACCTTGATTTCCAAAGGAAATGCAAAATTTACTTTCATCAGAGAACATGACTTTGGACCACTCACCAGCAGTCCAGTCCTGTTTCTCTTTAGCCCAGGCAAGACGCTTCTGACGCTGTCTGTGGTTCAAGAGTGGCTTGACACAAGGAATGCGACAGCAGAAACCCATGTCTTTCATACGTCTGTGTGTGGTGGTTCTTGAAGCACTCACTCCAGCTGCAGTCCACTCTTTGTGAATCTCCCCCACATTTTTGAAGGGGTTTTGTTTCACAATCCTCTCCAGGGTGCGGTTATCTCTCTTGCTTGTACACTTTTTTCGACCACATCTTTTCCTTCCCTTCGCCTCTCTATTAATGTGCTTGGACACTGAGCTCTGTGAACAGCCAGCCTCTTTAGCGATGACCTTTTGTGTCTTGCCCTCCTTGTGCAAGGTGTCGATGGTCGTCTTTTGGACAACTGTCAAGTCAGCAGTCTTCCCCATGATTGTGTAGCCTATAGAACTAGACTGAAAGACCATTTAAAGGCTTTTGCAGGTGGTTTGAGTTAATTGGCTGATTAGAGTGTGGCACCAGGGGCCATCAATTTTGAACCTTTTCACAATATTCTAATTTTCTGATATGATGAATTTGAGATTTTCATTTGTTGTCATTTGTAATCATCAAAATTAAACAAAATAAACATCTGAAATATATGAGTTTGTATGTAATGTATGAATATAATATACAAGTTTCACTTTTTAAATGGAATTACTGAAATCAATCTACTTTTTCATGATATTCTAATTTTATGACCAGCACCTGTACTTTAACAGCAAGTTTTAATCAACTTTTATATGTACGTGTATTTTCCTCATCAGTCTCATTGTTTCCCTTGTCTTTTAATGTCTCCAGAGAAACAAGTAACCCTTTACGGCTCAAGAACGCCATAGTGGAGCACATTTTTTACAGCCCAAAAGAACTGCTTAAACTGAGCGTGCCTTCGATAGTGTATGCCGTTCAGAACAACATGGCCTTTGTTGCACTCAGCAACCTTGATGCAGCAGTTTATCAGGTAGGAAATTGTGTTCTTTTTTTCTGTTATTCATGAATTTCCATAAAACTGTGTTCTGGTAAATATTGTCAAAAGTGGGGAAAAAAATTGCTTTAGAGGATAATAAACATAGACTTGGTTTAGAGAAATTATTATAAACCTGTGGCTTCCTACAGCTTAAAATATCAGAAAGGTAAACTTCAGATTTTAATGTCCACGTTGTTGCTGTTTATTTCCAATTAGAAACTGTTAACCTCAGATTGATGAATGTTCAATACGTGTCGCATCTAAAACAGAAAGGTGACACTGGTATTAAAATACAGGAGGTGAAAAGAGATTTTAGACACACTGAGAGAGATTTTGGTCTAAACCCAGAAAAAAATAACTGGTTTCAATGGAAGCAAGACGTACAGGAGCCGAGAGCGGTTGTGTCCCTCCCTTGCTTTTTTACGATGGTTTTCTGAAGATAACAAGTTAAAGTCATTATTTAAAGATGAGAGCCGTTTCCCCGTGGTAAAGGAAGAATCGATCGCGAGAAAATAAACCACGAGATGATTTATGTGAGTTAAACCGATTAGCCCTTCATCCTTCAATACCACAACAGCAGGAGAGGATTTATAAGTCTAAGTCATGTGTAATTCTATGAATAGTCCAACTTTTACGTAATGAGACGAGGTTGTTGTTTAGAGGATTTGCTTCCACATTTGATTCATGATAATAATATCATTATGAGAAAAAAAAAAACTGTTTTCTCGTCATTACCAGATAAGTATCTCTTCCTCCCGAAAAACAATTAATAGCTTAACATAGATAATGAAATGGCTGTCATTATCTCGAGAAAACAATAAAAAAAAAAAGCATTTGTGTGCGACTGCTCCCAGCTTCTGTAAAGACAAGTAATTTTCTAAGAATAAAACACTAGAGTGGTCGTGTGGTTTAAATGTCCAACATCCTTAAATCTCTAGAACAGTAGTTCTCAAACCTTCTCCTTTAAGCATCACTGCCCTGCATGTTTTAGATGTATCTACAGGTATCTTTCCATTAAACATCAAATTGCGCAAATTGTACGGTAATTACAAAAATTAATTCGGTAAATGAAAGCACTGCAGTTTCGATAAAAAAAACTAGGGTTGCAACTAACGATTGTTTGCAAATCAATTAATCAGTTGATTATTTTTTCGGTGAATCGAATAATAATCAGATAACCAAAGGTTCCTTAAAGATGTTTTATGAAATTAGACCCGGTGAAAATAAAACTTTTCTACTTGAGGAGTTTACATATTTTCTTTACAATTTTGATATAACTGCTCTAAGTGGGTTGCTCTGTCAGCTAAATTAATTTTTTAAAGTCTCTAAACTCCAGTTAATGATTAATTGATTACTAAATAAGTTGACTATTTTAATAATCAATTAATCCCGATTAATCAGATTAATTGTTTTAGCCCTAGTTTACACTTTGAGAGGTTGTTTCGGTTTCATTGAAATCCTTATATTTCACAAAACTGCAGTGGAAACACTTTTATCACCTCACACAAGTTTGTCAAAAGATGATGAAGAAGAATGGAAATGGTTATAGTAGTTATGATGGCACCCACTAGAGCTGCTGCCATGTTGTTTTCAGACTCATTGGAAAACAAATGTATTCATGTGTTATTTAAATTATATTATTTATTTATTTATTGGAAATACCACAATTGCAAAACTTTGCCTTTTCTAATTCAACAAAATATTAACATGGTTTTGCACCCGCTTGTAATGGAAATGTAGCTTCTGTTGCAGCACACTGGATTTAAATGAGTGCACAACATCCTCAGCAGTTATCAAGCCTGATATTTGTTTTTGTAAATGAGTCAGGTGTGTGGCTGCTTTGGCAAATCTAAAACGGGCAGGGCATTGGTAGTTGTGGACCAGGGTTGAGAACCACTGGTCTAGAACTGCTTATAAGTTTAGTTTACTGCTATAAATAATTTCTATATATCCAGTATATTAAAGTTAAAACTTGCTTTAGATGTGTCCTTCATTAGATCTATTTTGTGCTTTTCTGTGTAGGTGACCTACCAGCTGAAGATTCCATGCACTGCCTTATGCACTGTCCTCATGCTGAACCGCTCTCTCAATCGGCTGCAGTGGTTCTCCGTTTTCATGCTCTGTGGTGGCGTAACGCTCGTCCAGTGGAAGCCTGCAGAGGCTACCAAAGTTCAGGTACGGTTGCTAGTAGTTGCTGATGACGATTCTCAGTCATCCAGGTCATAGTCATTCTGTAACAGTAAAAAAAAAAAAATCCACTGGACTTGGTTTCCAAGATTTGAAGACGTTTCGCTACCTTTCCAATCCCGACAATCTCCCCTTTTAATGACTGACCTTCAGAATCATAGACTGGTTTCAGATATTACAGGCTAACAATGGAACCAAACGACCCACTCATCGGTTTCCATTTGCATGTTTCCAAGCAATGCAAGGCCTTATCTATATAAAGACTCAAACTCACTGCAGATCCAGACATTTGAATTGAGAAAGCTTCCTGGAGAGGTGGCAAAACGTCTTCAAATCTTGGAAACCAAGTCCAGTGGATTTTTTTTTGTTTTTACTTTTACGGAGTTACTAGTAGTGAGGTTTTACTCGTTCTGATCAGTCCATGTTTACCCGTTTTTCTTTTCCCGCTGCAGATTGAACAAAATCCCTTCGTTGGGTTCATGGCCATTGCTGTCGCCGTTCTCTGCTCTGGATTTGCAGGTGAGGTTGTGAGCGAGATCCTTTGAAAGGGGCTGCTTTCTTTATGACTTTATTATACATGTTTGTATTATTTTAGTCGTCTACTCACAGGTTACTTTTGTCTTATTTTATTTTTATTTTTTTAAATCGAGGCGTGTACTTTGAGAAAGTGCTGAAGAGCTCAGATACATCTCTGTGGGTCAGAAACATTCAGATGTACCTCTCTGGCATTCTCGTCACCCTGATTGGTGTCTACATGAACGATGGAGAAAAGGTCTTGGAGAAGGGCTTCTTCTATGGTTACACCCCATCGGTGTGCTTTGTTGTATGTAAGTACTGCAGAACCTAATAATAATTTTTTTGTTAAAATTGTAAATTTATTTGACACTTTTCTTTGTGTTTTTGCAGTTCTGGCCAGTGTTGGTGGCCTTTATACGTCCATAGTGGTGAAATACACAGACAACATCATGAAGGGCTTTTCTGCAGCAGCAGCCATAGTTCTCTCAACAGTTGCATCAGTCATATTGTTTGGACTGCAGATAAGTACGTTTCAGTAGATGTCATGCAGTATACTATGTAGAAGCATTTACTGCAATTTGTAAAAAAAAAAAAAAAACACACACACCACCAGGTTCTGAAAGATGCAAATGCAAAATTAGAACAGCACTTTCTAGTACACTGTTAAATTTCGATCCCGCTTTTGAATTCTGAGTCTGTTGATAGATGTTCTTTCATGTTTGAAATTAGAGATATTCTAAACTCTGGGTCCCTCAGTCTAAAGCAGTCTGGTTAAAAATCTAAATCCTCTACAGAAGTCAGAAAAGTGCAGTTAGAAAGCATGATGATGTAGGTTCATAAACTGTACCTGGTCAATCCATAAGACCTGCACGCATGCAAACTAAAATACTGTTTGTAGGAAACGTGGCGTTTTTGAGAAAAAATATATTTTATATGTTTTAAGAGTATGCTGTGTAGGGTTAAATAATCCAAACAGAAATTGAATAAGGGAATCAATATCGGTTTTCCCATGACTGATGGCTTAATCTAATTAGTTTGTATTAGGGCTGAAACAATTTATCGGATTAATCATTTATTGAAATAATCGTCAAATTATTTAGTAATCGATTAATCCTTAAATGGAGTGTAGAGACTAAAACATGCCTTTAGCTGAAAGGACAACCCACTTAGAGCAGTAATTATACCAAGAGACTTAGGTCTCTGGCCAGCTGGTGTAAATATTTTAGAAAGTGTTGGTCATTACTGAATTAAATATTGAGAACTATGATTATAAACACATGGTAAAAGTTTTCTTTAAGCTGTGTTTTTGTAAACTTTTCTTTTTTTCTTTGCAGCATTCACATTTGCTTCAGGGGCAATGCTTGTGTGTGTTTCCATTTACCTGTATGGACTTCCAAAGCAGGACACATCCAAAGTGTCCCGCTCAGAGAAAGAGTTGGACTCAGAGTTAAAACAGAAGCTGATCAACGTGTGAGCCACTAACTCGCAACAAAGGACTCTCTGTCAGAAGGTTGAGGTCTGTTTTCTGTGGAGCTGCAGGACTTCGTAAGGTGACCCAAGAGTCGTTTTTCACATCAACACTGAACTGGGTCCCAGATTTTATTTGCTTAATGACAAAGATGAAGGTTCTCCCTTCATGCACATATAATAGATGAAGAAACTTTAATTTAAAAGTAAATTTTTTTTTTTTGAAGGTGATCGAAGAAAATCTTTGTGTTTTGGGAATTTCATTGAACAAGAACGTGGGGGGTGGGTACATCTCTGTAGTTACCTAAAGTTTGTCAATCTGAGGAGGTGGGTTTGTTGGATCATAAATTCATCTACAGTAAAGTAGAACATCTGTATATGTGGCACATAAATAAAACCACTTCACGTAATAAATACTTTATGTTAATAGTGCAGAATATCAGAGGTCCAAATGGCCAAGCCTGTAGGTGCACAGATAAAAACAGACCAGTGCATGCTTATTTTTATTAAACCTCTTCAGTGTCTTTTGTATACACTTTTTATTGTGTTTTGGATGTTATTTTGAAACTAATTAAAACTTAAAGACAATGGAATGAGTTTCATTTAACCTTCACAATCAACAAGGAAGGTAATTTTATTTGGAAAATAAAGGACCTTGTATTCACAGTGGATATCAAAGAGGGTACATAAAGTCCTGTAAAAGCACTTTAAACTTTAAGTTTACATTTTTTGAACTGGTGTGATGCCCAGTATTCTCATCCCGCTGGCCAGAACCGAGCGTGCACCTTTGAACAGTCGTAACCTTGCCTGTGTAATGAAAAAGCAAAAACATATATCATTTGATTATCTTTTTAATTAAAATATATTTTGTGACTTCCGACATGGCTAAAGAGTAAAACTTTAGCATAAATAGGAATTATATTTAACCTGTGCAACATGCGGAGGGCTTCCTTTGACTGGCAGTTCTCTGTGAGCTGAAGCGATGAAGTGGCTGTAAAGCACAGCATTAAAATTAAGGATGAAGAGACATCTCTACAGACACTGGTGAACCTTATCAGGGCTAACCCCCTTACAAAACAAACATCCTGTTCCTTACCTCAGCTTCAGTAAAAAGTTGACGAGGTGTTTGGGTTGCAAGTCCTGATGCGACTGATATAAAACTTCGTCATAACTACAAACAAATATTAATGTTTAACTTGCAGACTGAAATCCAGCGTTTTGCTCTGACATCAGAGGAAGGTTGGTTGCTTACCGAAGGAGGTGCTGCAGGACGGTTATACCCGTCTGGTCACTAAGGCAGGAAGGGTTGAATGTATTTGTCTCCACACCTTCATTCCTCTGTATTAAACTGCCAAAACATGAGTGTCTGTGTGATTGACATATTCTGTACTTCCTGTTAGTCTCGTTTTCCTAAGAGTTGCACACAAGTCAATATTAGGATCAGACATACCTTAATAATCCCAGAGGGAAAGTACTTTGAAGCACCTATTTCCTCTAATTTAATGATTATTTTAAGTAATATGATTATTATATATGAGATTTAGAAAATAAAAATAACCTAAAGATGTTTGCCTGCTAAAAGTAGGTAAATGTACTATAATTTATACGCACTGTGTAGTAGGTTTGGGGGAATTTTTTGATACACAACTGCATCAATGTCATATTGAGGTGATCAGTCTGTGGTACTGCTGATATGTTAAGAGAGCCCAGGCTGATTTAATTAGTGCCCTTGATCTGAATAATTTAGAATGTTTCGTCTCATCTCTCTCTCAATCATACCTCACAGTGTTTCTAAGGGTTTCAGACCCAGACAACTAAAACCAGCACAGTAATATCATGGTCACATTCAGGGTATGGGTAGATTTAGCAGTTGATGTGTCTTAAATCCTGCTGGAACATGAAATCTGCGTCTCCCTAAAGCTCAAAAGTCTTTTTTCTCCAAGCATTTTATTGTCATTACATCTCCTTGGGGAGCAGTGGGCTGCCACTGTGCGGCGCCTGGGGAGCTGTGTGGGGTCTTTGTTTAGGGACCCAGAGAGGCAGTCCGAACTCAGAACCTCATCGCGCCACTCTCAAAAGCAAGTAATAGGGTGAAGGGTCTTGCCTAAGGACCCACACTGGCAGCACATTCCCCCCAGCTGGGATACGAACCCAGACTTCCTGTTTGTAGAACGGATGACTTTCCACGTGCTAGCTTAGGGAAGCATCTAGGGTAGCATCTAAAGTGGAGCAGATGGCAGAAAAATTCAGTTCTATGAATCTGCCCCAAATCCAGTTTTAAAGTTTCAGTTAAGCTTTGATGTAGTCAGATTCGTTAGCAACTTATTCTCCAAATGAAAGTTATATAAGTTAACACGGTCTTGCCCATAATTATGTAGCCATAACATTTCTGCATTAGATGCCTTTTGGTCATTGATTTACAAATACATCTTTAAGTCTTCTTTAGCTGTACGTTATAGGCATACTGCTTGTAATATCTAAAATACAACCACTCATGCTTACCTGCAGAGTCGGGCATGTGTGTATTGAAGGAAGACGCCTGTGTCGCCCTGAGCCTGCAGCATCCGATCCCAGTCAAACTTATAATCAGACTGAAGAGGACCTTTAAAGTCCTGATCGAACAAAAAGAAAATGTTTACTATCAACACACACAACAGCTGTTGGGATTTTGTAAAGATGTGTAGTGATGCTTCACCTGAACTATTAATGCACTCATTCCCACTTTCTCAGCTACGTCTTCTGGGTTTTCCAGTTCTTTGGTTGCTGTGGAAAGATTGAGCTGTTCTGTTACCACTGTTCTACAGTATCTCTGACCACATTAGGTCAGTTTCTCAGTTTAGTTATACAGAGTTTCCATTAAAAAGACATAAGCAGGATCAAACTGGTAAAAGTATTAAGACTTTTTATATATTTCTTTGATTTTGATTTGATTTTATATACTCTAATAATCCCAGAGGGAAATTACTTCTCTGCATTTAACCCACCCCCTTGGGAAGCAGTGGGCTGCCATTGTGAGGCGCCAGGGGAGCAGTGTGAGGTTAGGGGTCTTGGGAGTGGGGGATCGAACTCACAATCTCAGGATTCAAAGCCCTATGCCCTAACCACTAAGCCGCCACTCGCCCACTCAATATTACCACAGAAATTCTGATAAAGGAATTTCTGGTGCAACTGTCGAGATAAACCTGACTAACAAGGTTTGAGAGGGGCGTGAAGGAAGCCATCTATGTTAAGAGAGAAAAACCAACTTTAAACAGAGGTGGTGGACTCAGATTCCAGCTTCCAAAAACATACAATTCAATCATAGACATGATCCCTTCCAGATATCACCAAACCCCCCACCCCATCACAGAGGAACGAGGGACCTACCCGCCCCAGCCGGTGAACAATACCTCCTTAACGACCAACCCTTAACAATCATAGACAGGTTTCAGGTATTACAGGAGACAATCCCCCCCTTAATGGCTATCCCCCCTTTAACGACCAACCGCTAGAATCATAGACAGGTTCAGATATTACAGGCTAACGATGGAACTAACGACCCATTCATCGGTTACCATTGCATGTTTCCAAGCGATACAAGGCGTTGTCTATATAAGACTCAAACTCACTGCGGATCCAGACATTTGAATTGAGAAAGCTTCCTGGAGAGGTGGCGAAACGTCTTCAAATCTTGAAAACCAAGTCCAGTGGATATTTTTCGAATTTTTACGGAATGACTAACAAGTATGTTCAGTGAATTAGCCTGCCTTGCGTTGAAAGAAATAATGCATTCAGTCTATGAGAAATTACTAAACATATACAGAAGTTTACTGTTGGACTGGTTCATGTTGTGGAGCATCCTGGCCTGAGCTTCGTCCAGCACATCCTCCAGAAACACCACTTCACCCGTCCTGGTCTTCATGCCTTTCACCAAGCCAAAGGAGACATGTCGACACCTGGTAACAGAAATCAGAATTCTTACATAACAGAGACTTTAAATAAAACACATTTTACTTTATACAAACATAACAGTTATATAAATGAGTCTGCATTTTAACAGTGACTATTATATTTTACAGACATGAAAATATTAAAAGTAACAACACAATTTGGAGTAGGGATAGGACTGTATGAATAAATCCCTTTTGAGATTTGTCAAAGCAGAGAGTGATAGAATCTATAACATGGGAGTACATTAAAAATCTAGCACAGATATATTTTTTCTTCTGTGGTGCTGCGGGACAGGGACCTCTGCTTTCAACAGTCTGTTGTTTGTTGTTGTTTTATACGCCCACACAGATCAATCATTGCTATGTTTTTCTTGTTTTCTATGCCTCATAAACATACTTTTATGTGACCAGAGTGCACTTGCAGTTGTATTGCTGGTTCACTTTTGAAATGTAGAGTCAAGCAAAGTAATAAAAAAAACATTGTAGCATAAGACTTAAGCATTACAACTTTAGATATAATATTGTAAAGCAGATAAAAACCAAAATTTTAACTGGCCTAAATGCTCCACTGTTTTTTATTTTCCTCATAGGTGATCTGTGATCAGCATGAATTTGACAAACAAAAGGAAAGAGAGTAAAATTATTATTTAGGTCACTCAGTGAATACTCGTATCTCCGATCTAGATCTGTCTAACAGAAAAATAAAAAGGGTAAACAATTTGAAACGACTCCAAATAAAGACTTAAATAATTCATAAACAGGCACTAGTTTGAGTGGAAAAAAATACAGCTGAATAAAATGTGCTTTATGGACAGAAATTGAACTGTAATTAATTGTTAGATAGTAAACAAGACAGAAATGAATAAAAACAAAAAACACAGTGGTCTCTGAAACCAGTTAATCATGATGGGAATGAAGTATTTCTAAATGACTATTGAACTGGCACAAACAATATTTTATGCAAGCCCTAATAAAACATTAGGATGCCTGCCAGAGAATAAGCACATTTCTTTTGTAAGCTGTGATTTACAGGTCAGAACATTCTGATCTGCGGTTTTCTTTCACCCTTTCTGACTTCCTTGTTAAATGCCATGTTAAAGTCAAGCTGAGGCACAAAGTTAATTACTTCTGTCACCTGTTAGCCCAAGAATTTCCCATTTGCAGAAGTATCTGGAATAACTGGTTGAAGTGATTCTCCTGACTTTTGTCCGTCTGAAAAAGACAAGCAGAAATGAACTAAAGCAGCTGAAGTTAATGAGATGTTTGCACACAACTGAAAATCGGGTTTTTCCAGATTCCTATTGGGTAATAATACTGATTCAAATATTGGTCACAAAACTCAGGGTTCCTATACTTTTCATTTCAAAGCTCTTTACTGCAGTTTTTCTGCCATTCTGAACCTTTGAGTACAGCATGTTTCCATAAAGCTGCTTAGTCTTTTTGTACAGTAATAAAGCACAAGTTAATCCAACAACAATACAAATAATAAAAAGCACATTTTAACCTTTCTTTTGTAAAATGCATTGTTTAGAATTTTTGTTAAATTCTATTTAGCTTCCATAGGTCCAGTTTTAACACAATATGAAAGTCCAAAGTTCAGGACTTTTTGTATCTTCTATGGGTGTGAGAACATCAGACAGAAAGCCTAAAAATCAAAGTTCAGATGAGAAAAATGTTTGAATCAATTTTTAATGTGATAAATCGGAAATGGAAATTAATTTAGAAATAAACCAATAAACCTATTAATGCAATTTATTAAGGATTACTTGATTTTTGTTCTAAACAAAACATGACCATGCGGGAACCCGGATAATTAGAGACCTCTATGTACTTTTAAGGTACAATGCCCGGAAAAGGTTCATATAATCCTATGGAAACTGATTCATTATACGTCCTACTATGCCACAATTATGGAATTAATGAAGACAATGCATCTTTAAAAGACAAGAAAATGAATTATTTATTTCAGCGTTTACCACATAAATCATCTCATCGAAGCTGTACTTCTCCTTCCTGCTGATAGCCGCAGCAATGTCCCTGTCGGAGAGAACATTTCAGTATTGCCAATAAAATAACATGTTGAAAATTGAATTAAACACCTTCAGTGCTGTTCCTGAAGCGGGTTTACTTGCACTAACCTGGTGATGTAGAGGGTTGTTCCATCACTGCGGTGTAATGTACAGATGTTGCTCATGACTCCATTTGGGGAGAGATCAACCACACCGGTCCCCTTGCTGCCAACACAATATAAATACAGAAAATGACATATCAAAAATAAAATCAAAGAAGAAATAACATAAATACAACAAGTTTGTTTGTCTCATGAAAAAATATGGTAGATGGATATATTTATTCATTTTCAGCATCCTAACAGCCACAGTAATTAAAGTTTTTTTTTGTGTTGCTCACAGTGTAGCATTGGTCTAAAAGGTTGTTTAAGGAATCCCTTCAACAGGATAAAGTCAGACTTGCTGATCATTTTTTCTGCTTTTTCAGCCTCCTGTCTTTTTTTTCAGAAGAAATTCCAGGACCCTTTTTCAAATGTAAAAACATTAAAAAAAATAAATTAAAAAAAATACAAAATCAGCAACTAACATTTAAAATCCTGTCAGCAAAACCTTGTTTAAAAAAAAAATATATATATATATTTTAGGTTAATTAATCTCTCTAAATTGCTGAAATGGATGGGTGTTTCCATGCGGTTGTTTGGCCTGTGGGTTTCTGTGTTGCCCTGAAATGACCCGCCCAGCTGGTAACCATCAAGTTGTTGCTCTTAGGTGCAATAATATATGTGACCACAAGGGGCTGACAGCAGCATATCTGTGCCTCAGACAAACTCATATTTCAAATAGAGGTGGGGGATGCAAAGATCCAAAGTTGTGAGATCTCTATTTGTAATACATTTTGAGATTGCAGCGTTAAATAACAAAGATGGGGCAGAAACCATGCTGGGAGGAGGAATTACGTGTCAAACGTGGAGCGAAAAGTAATTATCTTTCCGAACGAGCTGTTAACTGAGTTCACTATAAAACCCACTATACAGCCCCCGCTCTATATAGTGATTGACAACTACAACTAGTTACACACTTTTAAAAGGTATCATATACAGTATAAAAACAGTCTTTTCCAGGTGATGAAAAGTTAAAATAATAATTAAATTAAAGATTAGATCCTTAAGCTTTAACTCACAAATCAATTGTTAAACCTTTAGAGAAATCTTATTCAAAGCATTTTGAAGTTTTTTTCCGCTGGACCAATTTGGACCAAAGCAATTGTGTCTGTACATTTGTGAGCTGTTAAAACACAAACAGGAAGGTAGAGGACAAAGTGGACTAGGAAAGACATAAATAAATCCTTAATCTAATGACTTTCTTCCAGCCTACAAATGTTTATCGAGTGCAGCAGCTGCCAATGAAAGCTTTAACTTACTCTGAGATTTTCAGCAGGCCTAGACTCTGCAGCTCCTGGACCACCTCCTGGGCTTGGTCTTGGTGAAAGGACTCCCCTCCGTACACATCAAAGTGGATTCCTAACCTCTGTAAAAAAATAAATAAATAAATAAAAATACTGCATGTTTTCTTGTTTCAAATTAAGTTTGTCTTTCAGAGAATAGACCTTGTAAATATGCTTATACTCGTTCACTGTGATCTCCCTGAACTGTTGCCATAAAGACATGGCCTGGCTCTCATGCTGCTCCAGCTGTCTAAAGAAGTCTTTCGCCGCACGTTTTATATCCTCATTCTGCTCTGCTTCTTTGTTCGTTTGAACATAAATCTGAAACACAAAGGCATCAAATAATCTCATAAAATCTACTGTAGCACAAAAGAAAAGGCATTTTCAAAAATAAAAAAAAAAATCTATATGAAACTTTATACAAACAATTACCTGAACATTTTCCAATTGAGCTAAACAAAACACATATTCTAACCTTAAAATAATATAATAGGAAGAAAACAATATCACCTCAAACAAATGCTGTAATGGATTCTCCTTCAACTTTTCCGTGCATCCAAACCTGCTGAACCCAGCTCCCAACAAACCTGGGATTCAAATTCAAACCGGTTTCCTGGTTTCAGTAATTAAACTCATGTCAGAGAACACATTTGTAGCACGACATACTCACCAAACTGCATGCCCCAGTCTCCCAGGTAGTTCATTCGAATGACATTGTTACCAAGGGATTGTTTCAGGTTAGCAATGAAGTTACCTGAAGAAGAATTTCACATAGATGTTGGATCAGATTAAAACCATTTAACAACAAAACTATTAACTTACATCTATATTTTTAACTTAAGTCAAGCGTTGTTTATATTTGTGCATTATGCATTGACATGTATGCATAAAGCATGTTACCCATAAATAAAATTTAATGCCACATTTTTGTATTATAAAATGTGAATTATTTTGAAGACCAGGCCTTATTTTCTCTCCACTGGTCAACCAAATAAAATCACAACTGAAGGTTGTTGCTTTTTTACGACAGAGTATTAGGGTCAGACTAAGATTTAAAAAAAAATTTGAATAAACTCATAAGATTACAACCTTATTTTGGTAATACAATAATAAAAGTGTAGTATTTTGAGAGTAAAGTCATGATTGAATAAAGACATTATTACTAGTCTTTCCAGAAAATTCAAACAATATCTGAGGACACAAGCCACACTATCAAACAGCAATCTGAGCTCCATTTATAATATGATTATTTGATACTAATGCACTAAAGCAACATCATCAGCGACCCCTCAGGCCCCCCATCAACTGTTCTCTCTGCTGCACTCTGGGAAGAGCCTTTGCAGGATTCTATGCAGGACCAGCAGGTTCTGTAACAGCTTTTTCCCCACTGCCATCGTATTGTTGAAGTGCTAAAAAACTCTATATCAAGTCACAAATCGAGACTCTGCATCAGATTGATAACATCATAGTTGCACTACATGGTGATCAATAAAATAAAACTCAATTCAAATGTTTTGTACTGCAATCTGCACCATATCTATTTATTTTTGCACTGCTATGAACCTTCCACACAAATGCCTTTTACCACCATGTTCATCACAATGTTCTTTTACACTGCTAAGCTGCTGCTCATTTACTGTCAAAAAGCTCAACGAAATTAAATTTCGTTTTGTATACACTGTATAAAAAATGACAATAAAGTCTAAGTCTAAAAGGTTTAATATTTCATTATTCTAAAACTGATGCGAAAGTATAACTTACCAAAATCCTCAACAGTCCTTATTTCAATGCAGGACATGGCAGCGCAAAAGTTCTAAATAAATTATATCGACTTTATTCTCTTAATATTATGACTTTAATCTCTTAATATTATGATAGTTATCTGCTAATATTATAACTTTATTCTCATATTGCAGCCTGTCAAAAAAATTGTCCTTAGTCTGGCCCTAATATTCTGTTGTACTTTCCACTTGATAAAATTAAAAAAATTCAAGGAGTACAAGTACCTCCTAAACATACTATAAAATAAAAAAATAAAAAATGCAAACTGGATTCCCTTCTGAAACTCACCAATGATTGTTGAGCGCAGGTGCCCAGCATGAAACTTTTTAGCAATATTTGGGGAGCTACAAAAAAATAAAATGATAGCTTTTTTTAGAGTCAATTTTCCAATATATTTATAAACTTATTATTATACTAATAAAGCCAATTCTACCTAAATTCTACTAATGTGGTTCCTCTCTTCAGAGTATCCAAAAGTTTGCTGTTTAACCCAAAATTATGACTCTCGCCTTCTGCAAATGGCTCCAAGAGTTTCTGAAAGAAAAAAAGACTCAAATTTAACGACCACAAAAGAAGCTGGGAAGACGTTTTGTTGATATTTCTCAGGTTTTTGGCAAACTAACCTCAGCAAGAAGGCTGCGATTTACTCTAAAGTTAATCAGCCCATGTCCAGCTGTGATATCCTCCACCACGCTGTCGGGTTTTAACTGAAAAAGAAAAAAAAAACAAAACAATTGAAGTCATATGAATAAAATTCTATTTCATTTGCAAGAAACAACACTCACCTGAGTAGTGAAAAATTATTTGATATTTATAGAGAAATAAGATAAAAGCACTCAGTAGTTTGATAATCTGAAAATTTTATTTGTTGTACTTTTACATATTTAATAATTTAAAAAAGAAAGTTAATTCCTCTCATTTAGATTATTACCATGTTTGTCTTTGATAATATGCCTGTTGTTTTTAAATCGCTTAACATAAATCTCCTCTCAACATTTACAGTTAAAAAAGGGTTTCAATTAATACAATGTAATCTTTTTACATTTTGTCAAAGTACAAACATGAACTTCTATGCATTTCATTGAGATTTTATGGTAACCAAATTGTGGCTATATTTTGGTTTAAAAATTGATCCAAAAGCAAACAAACAAAAGATTCATGTAGCATGAATCAGTAGTGTTGGAGTTCTTATGTCCTACGTCTGTCAGTCTGTCTTCTCCTCATCTTTGTGTCCATTTTCCTGTCTCATATATTCATACAGGCCATAGGATAGACTCCTATGGCCTATTTTAAAACATTTCTGTAATTAACTCTGTTTTTACTAGCATTAAAAATATAGAGAGTGAAGTTTATGACAAATTTTCTCACTAAATGAGTTTAAGCTCAGAGGGTGAATTACTACACACTGTAAACATTAACATGACTTAACACTCAGAGTTAAGCGCATTTGCAACAAGGGCTTGGAACCCCAAGGTTGTGAGTTCAAACCCTCTGGCCCTCAGAGCAAGACCTTTATCCCCCAGTTGCTGCACAGTGGCAGCCCGCTGCTCCACCAAAAGGGATGGGTTAAATGCAGAGGTTAATTTCTCCATTGTTAGATCAATAAGATTCAATATTTTGTTTTTAATCTATTTTTTTATCTTTCTATTTGTGGATGATGGATTGAACTTGGACTTTTATTTTAAAATCAGATCATTTTGGAAGGCAGATAGTCATATTGTTCTTTATTTAGCTGCATCTGTGACTCAGTGGAAGGCTGTCTTACAATTAGAAGGTTGTAGGTTAGATTCCAGCTTCCTGTTTCCACATGTTGACCTACCTCTGAGCATAGTAGCAAGTTGTCTACTGATCATTATGTGAGTTTAAGTTCAATTGGCTGAAATTGTCCATACTGTTTAGCACTTTAAGTGGCCAGTATGACTTAAAATTACTTTTTTTCCTACTTGCTTGATTCTGTTTTATTTTCCTATATTTTAATCATGTAAAGCACTTAGCATTGTCTTTGTACTGAGTTGTGCTATACAAATACATTTGCCTTGCCTTGACTTAAAAAGCCATGTACCATCCATCAGTGCATTTATCGTTTATAGTAAGGGATAATTAGTTATTTTGCTTCAAACTTACCTCCAAAACTAATAAAATAGGAAATGGTTCAAAGGGTAAGAATTTTTGCAATCCATTATGTAAGTACACTTGGGAGAAACAATAAATTGCATAATTTGAATTTCCCATTAAACAGTCATACGCCATCGATGTGACCTGGGCTTTACTAACGCCTTTACAACTTCTGTTTGCATTATAAATCTGACCTGTGCAACAAGGTTTTCTGTCTGCAGCTGGATTTCCCCACTGGAAGGAAGAATTCCGTTGCTCCGTAATGTTCCAAGCGACAGCCTAAAGTCAGCACTCTGCCTAAAAAATAAAAAATCCCTGATCTTTAACTAAGCAATAAAAGGACAAACAGGAGGCATCTGCAGGAGTGACGTGAACAAACTTAACTGCTTCTTGAGAACGGGAATAACGGTCAGAACAGGTATAAAGGCATCATCGGACTGCTGCAGCGCCTCTGCAAGCTGAACATTGCATAAAATTCAATAAAATTGTCCATTTTTAACCTCACCATCGTACAAAGTGCAGAGCTTGTTAGCATTAGCTGTTTCTTGACAAGTTTACCTTGGCAGCAATTTTTCTTCTAAAGAAACAAGCCATATTTGTGCCTATAAAAACAAAAATCTTAAGTCACGAAAAAATAGGTTAAATAAATCCGCGACCTGCCCTCATTGAAATGTTACACTACTTCCTGTTTAACGCTGCTTCCGCTCTGCTCATCCAATCACAGGCTTCGCTTCAACACACGCTTAGGGGCGTGAAAGGGTGCGCTCGATTTTATGTTCTGCTCCTACCGCCAGCAAGATGATTTAAAAATAAGACCTTTGACAATTCAATGTAAAAATCTATTATTTTTTTCTCCTATATGCCAGTTGCTTTAATCGGGGACCTCATCAGTTATTGCCTCAAAGATTCAATTCTAGTTTTTTATAAATATTAAGTCCCTCTTTCATAACAATCACTGTCAACCTCACTAAGTTGTTACATTCATGCTGATTTTGCAGTTCTTATTGAGATGCTATGATTTTGCACATCTCTGGTGTTACCATTTCCAAATATCCATAACTGCATATTGGTTATTTATTCTCAAGGTGCACAGTATGTATATTGTTAAAACACTTCAGAGTACAGTATTTCATTAATTTTTTAACTCTTTACCATTATGTTATTCTTACACATTTTTCTATGCTACTTTCAATGCCAGAATTTCCCCATTGTGGGACAATAAAGGGGTTTTCTAATGTATTCTATTTTAATTTTAAGAAAAAAAATAATAAATTAAAGCATTTTTAATGAAATTACAGACAGTTTACTTTTAAAAGAATTAAGCTGACTAAACATTTTTGCAAAGGTACAATAAAAAAGGGAAGAACATGTTTCAGACAAAACTTTATTTACATCATTGGAATCAAAGCCCCTTTAAACTTATAGTAAAACAAAGTCATAACATTGGGATACAATGAACAAAATTCAAGCCAAATATGCAAAACAAATTAAACTAATGCAATACAGTGTGTACAAATGTACAAAATCTAAAAGTAGTAATAATCAGAACAGTTTATACAAAGTTGAAGAAAGCAAAGAACAGTTGATACTCAAATCCAGACAGCTGTCTTCCTTCAACTAATTAATCTCCAATCCCTTTAGAAAAACAGACATAAAAAAACCGCACAACTCACATCCTTGGTGAAATATCACTAAAGGAATAAAATATTAACATAAAAAAGGCCAAGTGTGTGATAAGAGCCTTTAATAAAGGCATCAGAACAAAGCCAAAAGGATCATGGCAGTAAAGAGGCCACTGGTAGTCTCATGTAATGTTGGCAGCAGAAAACTCTCCAAACTCCCGAACTCCTACAAGCAACAGGAAATGTTGACGCCAATAACTGATGCCCGAGGCAGCAAGTCCACAGAGAGGCAATATGGCACAGCAAGGAGAAAAGTCAAATCAAACCCACCAAGGCCCTGGAGAAGATGGCAGCAAAGGGAATATCCCAAATTCAGAACTCAAGAGACATCTGTAAGAAAAAAAAAAAAAATTTGGTTTTATCCTTGCATGGTCTTACCTCACAACTTTTTTAGAGTAAAGTATAACACTCAAAATAACTTACATTTGTTCTTGATAAATCGATTAAAGTAAAACCATTTTCTCCAGTACAGCAAAGGACATGATTTCAGAATACTGAAGAAATGTAAATGCTTTCAATTATAATTAAGACACGATAACCTGGATACCTTCATCCTCATCCATCTAGTGAAGTAAGGCATGAGGTAACCTCTCTTTGTGTAAAGGTTTGTGCTACTGTAGTCAAAAAAATTACATTCGTTCTCCTGTCAGTTATGAGTGCTGACCTTATGTACTTGCACTAAAAAATTAGTCGTTCTAGGGAAGCACCTGTTAGACAAAGGTCTTGTCTGAATGCAGGAAGAAAGGGCAGCCTAGTAGTTAGGCCATAGAGCTTGGAATCCTGAGGTTACTACCATCTTGTCCTCATCTTTGCAATATAAATAAAATGCCAATTGAGTAAATTACCATCAATCTCCTTTATTTAACTAGGTTGCATAGCTGAATACCTTTTTCCTACACCTCTTTGTGTAAAGGTTTGTGCTAAATATAAACAATGAACACTTCCAAGCTGTTGCCACGCGGATTACCCATAAACTTTCAGGATACAGCAACACATCATGTCTAAGCTATACAATGAACATTTTGAAAATAACCTATTTGAGCATGTTTCTTTGTGTTCTACCGACATCGGCCTTAAGTAACTGTACTCAACTGAAATGATGGACAGTAGCTTTAAAATTATGTCATTCTTACCAGTTTTCTCATAAGAATTAAATGCTATAATCATTAAATCCTTAGAATAAAAAAAATGGCCTCTAGCTTAAAAAGATTATACATGATTTCTACAAAATTCTTTATAGGGAAGTTGGGCAGAAGTGACTAAGAGAATTTTAGCACATAGTGATGTTAAACTTACAACTTGCAGGCTGCTCCCCAAATCTTCGCATCAGCTGGTCATGTGTGAACTTGACGAATGCATCATATTGCTCTGTGAAACAAGGAGCATATTGGTGATGTTGCCCAGTTGGGAAATATGTACATGTTGATGAAAAAAGATAAAAAAAAAAAAAAACGTGATACAAAACAATGATAAAAAGATCTAACCAGCAAGTTTTGTTGTCAGAATCTCATCGTATTCTTCTCGGATTTTGTCCTCTTTCTCCTTCAGTAGTCTCTCACAGATCATCCCAACCTGTCTAAGGGAAAATAATGGCTGCTCCTTCCTGGTGGGAGATGAGCCACCTGAAGATGTACCTGTTGGGAGAGATACACAAACACAAATAAATGAAGGGCTGTTTAAAACCAAACAGGAGTTGGGTTGTGGTTATCATACCAATATAAGACGAGAGGTTTTACAGAATTCAGAGAAAAGTTATTTATTTTTTCTGCAAATGAGTTTTAAAAGATGTCAAATCCATGATCATTTGTTTTTATTTTAAAGTAATACCATACCCTGTTTAAAAGTGATCTCTCATATCTACACCCATATATCAGAAACTTCCGTCTGGCAGGAGGCTGTGGTCCATAAGGACCAAAACCTCACGCCACAAGAACAGTCTCTTCCCATCCGCTATCAGCTTTATCAGCAAGGCCCAGACACCCCCATGACACTGCCTCTCTCCCTCCCCTGGTCAGGATGTACAAGCAACACCAACCCAGCATCTCAAGACCTCCTGTGTTATATTAAAGCACAGCCTACTGTGTATATATCACATTAGGGGCATGGGGAAAAATTGTTTTGGCGATGTATCACGATATTCGGCTGCCTGATATAACATCCATCTTTCAGTTCCTAGTATAGAATTTTATACCCCAAAAACATGGATACCAAAATAACTAAATCATCAATATCTTCTGATGAACATACACAGCACTTGCCTTTTATATATACATTAAATTTTGATAGCCAAAAATATTGCAATATATAGTGACATTGCGTTATCGTAATAACATTGTATTGTGATCCAAGTACTGTGAAACATACCGTATTTTCACGACCATAAGGCGCACCGTACTAAAAGGCGCAGTCTCAGTTATGTGTCCCATTTCTGTATTTAACACACACATAAGGCGCACCGGACTATAGGGCGCATTTTTTATATACAGGTACATGTCCTCTACTACCTTTAAATAGCTCTACTGCGTATTTTAAAAATACAGCGGGGGCAAAACTGAGTATGACTGTGCTTTATTCATGTATTTATTACAAATTAATCAAACCTGGCAGCTGGCCGTGAGACAGACCAACATCGCAGATGACACAGCGCTGTGATTACTCCTAAATTAACTTAAAATCCTGAAACCTGCCGACGGAATATGTTCGCTTTTATTGCCGGTATCCTGGTGCCTGCAGCTAAAATTATTTAGATGAAAAACACCTGCCAGCCGCCGTGTGAGGCTGCTGTTGAAGGGATTTACTGTCGGTGTACCGCTGGTATGTGGGGGTCTGAGCGCCTCCGACAGAAATAGATAATCTTGATGAACTGACTGCAATTAAGTTTTCAGGTGGACTTTCTCACTTAAAAACATATTAAAACTACTTTATTCCCACTGATCACAGCAAATATAGCTGCAAGATTTAGATTATTTAGATGAAAAAACACCTGCCAGCCACCGCGCTGAAGAGGAGGAGACGCGCCCAGAGGCTGCTGTTGAATTAAGTTTTCAGGTAGAAAAATAGAGCGGGAGCAAAACTGAGTATGTTTGTGCTTTATTCATGTATTTATTACAAAGTATTAATTAAACCCATCAACCTCTGTTTCTGAATTAAACAGCTGCGCTAAATCAGACATGCCAATTTCCCCTTCTTCGCTGTCAGTCACTTTCCGTGCAGCGCGGCTCCTCAGAAATAATGCCGGCTTTTGCGAAAGCTTGAACAACAGAGCCAGCAGACACGTTAGCCCAAGCATCTACAATCCATCCGCAAACGGTGGCGTAACTTGCCCGGCGCTGCCTTCCACATATCCTGAAACTGTGCTCTCCGTCTGTCATCCATCGCTCCCACGCCGCTCGCAGCCTTACTTTGAACGGCCGCTTTCACACCGATGTCGAGCGGTTGAAGTTCCCTTGTCAGACCCCCCGGGATAACGGCGAGCACAGCGTTCATTTGATTCATCTTTTTTTTCCACATCGGCTGTGAGATGGGCACGCAGCGATGGTGATGCGTGGAAAAAAGCACCTGGTCTCCTCACATACACCTGCCTTTCATCATCTCCCCAGCCCGTTTCATTTGCGTTAATATCATATGTCATCAGAGCGCTGTGTCTGTCTCGCTGTCAGCTCCCAGATCAGCTTCTCTGATTGGTTGATGCGGCGCGTCCAGCAGCAAAACTTCAATTTTTCCATCTTGAGCAGCAGCAGCGTGACGTGCTGCACCTGCAGCTCAAAACGCGCTGCAGGACCTTTTGCTGCACCTATACGCGCGTCAACCATTGACTTTGCATGTAAACTCGCTGCTTCTGCTGCACCTGCTGGGTCCGGTTCACACCGATGTCCAGCGGTTGAACAGCGAGCACAGGGTTAATTTGTTTCCCCATGTTTTTCACATCAGCTGTGAGATGGGCACGCATGGAGTTACATATTAACAGCGATGGTGATGAGTGGAAAAAAATACCTGGTCCCTTACATTCAGCCACTCTTTCATCATCTCCTCAATGAGGTGGTCTCAAAAGTCGCAGTTACAACACACATAAGGCGCACCGCACCATAGGGCGCACCGCACATTTTGAGGGAAAAAAAGACGTTTAAGTGCGCCTTATAGTCGTGAAAATACGGTATATCGCAACACCCATGCCGATACTCACCTTTATAGTACATAGCTATATACTATATATTGTATATAGTATATCCTATGTTTTACATTGTATATAGCTATAGATGTTGTATTTTGTGTATATATCTAATTTGTCGGCACCATCAATACCAAGTCAAAATCCTTGTAAATGCAAACCTACTTGGCAATACACTTGATTCTGATAAGAAACAACTGACTACTGCTGATTACAACTTTAAAAACAAATCATGGCTTCCTTACAACCGGCAATAGCACCTACCTGGTAAAGGAGACCCAGCCAAAGGTGACCCAGCCTGAATGTTTTGCAGATCCAGAGGACAGCACCCATCTGTCTGTTGGAAAGCACTGTCCAGGTGTCGCCGTTTCTGAAGGCGTTTGTATTCCTGTTTTATGTTGTGCAGAATTTGTTCTAAAAGACAGATCAGTCCATATATGAAGAAGCAGTTTTGAACAAACCAGTGTAATTTGTATAAATACATTTGAAATAATCTTATTTGCACTACCAATCAATGTTCTACTGCATTTTGCAGAATATTTATGTTGCACTGCACTGAACCTTTCCATATCAATGCCTTTTATTCCATGACTTTAAAATGGTTTCCTTTTCTCCTTCACTGCCTACATTATTGATCACTATTGTAAGCTGGTTATTCAATGCTGGAAAAACTGTATGCATCGAAATTTCATTATGTAAACACAGTGTATGCAAGATGACAATAAAGTTTGTCAAAGCAAGTCAGATGATCCCTCATCTGGCCAGGTAATTTTACAAATTAGCTCAGATTAGCATGTTCTGGGGTTAGTACAGGAGTAATCTGTTTTATGCCGACGCTACATAATAAACGTGACCATTCCACGTATATAGAGACTGGAAAACACTTTTAGAATAGATAATGATTCCAATATTCATTTTTGAGAAGTACACGCCATGCGCACTTTACTGTCAATGCGGAAATTTTAGACCTGTATACAAGTATGAACTCTTTGAACATCCTTAAAACAATTTGGAGTTACATAGATCTAGTTTTGTTACCTGTGGTGAGTCTAGATGACACTTCTCCGAAAGGCGATGGTTCCAAACGCAGATATTTCTGCGGAGAGGAGACCGGTGACATGACCGGTGCACACCTTCTTCTTTTGGGAGAAGCCTGGCTCATTAGGGGGTCAAAATCCAGAGTACGTTTCAAAGTAGCCCCACAAGCCATTATTACCCAAATATAAATATAAGCTTGGCGAAAAACGAAGCCTTTATAAAATTGTATTTTCAGGAACTAGCTTTTTTGGGCCCCGCTGCTAATGCTAATGCCAAAAAAAAAGAATAGCGGCGATGTAGACGCCACGCACTTTTTTTACGTTGTCGATGTCTTCCAATGCGAAATTCTAATAAAATATAAATAACAGATAAATAGCAGACACTCTCTATAAAATAACTTGGGAAAACCAAAGTAAAAATATGGATGATGACAGATTTTAAGACTAACGCAGCACAACGCAAACGGTCCAAACAAGCTTCCCTGTTATTATTCTCTATCAGCTAGTTATACGCATGCGCAAGAAACTAGCTTAATGCTGGGATTTGTAGTTTTTAACTGACCTTCTCTCAGGTCTATCAATTGTTTGGGGACTACATTTCCCTAAACTCCAAGAATCCGTCCTTTTTTCAAATTTGTTTTGTTTCTTAAGATATCCACAAATCAGCAAAAAGGTTTCAGTTTAAGCTTACTTTTTTAAAATTAGGATTATACAGCTTTGTATTAAATCGTTTACTTTTTAATTTATTATATAGAATAAGATTATTTTGTTATTAAACAAATTTAAATGTACTTGCTCAAAAAGTAAGAAGGGGGTGAGACTAGATGGAATGAAATACTATTCTATGGAGCAAAAATAATGTTTTAATAAAGTAGCCTGTCTACTATAAGCTCACAATGGTTAATTTAAAACAATACTAATTTGATCAGTCATTTTACCAATCTTTATATAGAGTCATTGTCTACTTATATCTGCGAGCCTGACCAGTCAGAGCTCAAATGGACATACAGTAAACAGTACATATTATCACTGAAAGTAACCAATCCTACTTTGCACCATTGTAACTTAAAATCATTATCTGCTGTAAGTCTTGTTTTCAAGATTTTTATATTATAGATAACTCTTTTCTGGCCAAAACAGTTATTTTGTAATTATATTTTTTTGAGTTAAAGTAGTTCCTTGGGAACAGATAAAAATGAAACAAACTCTTTCCTTATAGACAACCATAAGAAATAAAGTGCAAAACAGTGAAGAAAAAAATCACAACAACGACTAAGACAATACGATTGTAATTTACACATTTGAAAAAGAAGTGGGAAGAGGTATAACTCATTAAATCCAATTCCTTGTCCAAAACCTAATAGAGACCGTTCCACAGTCCCCTATTTTATATTATACAATAAGGATTTCCATTATAGTTAAACTATATCCAATTGCTCACTTAGCTTTTCTATAAATATAACAAAAGTACAAAATAAAGCTCTCCTGATGCATGAATATAAACATAATGAATATTATCATAGATACCACAACACGTTCTAATGCATAAACATACATTTATACACAGATATATTAATACTATACAGAAGCACATATACCAACCTATACATGCACACAAAAACACACATAAAACACATATTTGTTAATGTTATACAATACTTCATGATACAGAGCAATACAAGGGAAACTATTCTAGTAATTATAAGAAATAATATGTCACAAACAAAAGTTGAAAGTAGAAAAAGCAGAATTTCAAAGCCCTAAAACTGGATAATACTGTTCTAGACAAACAGCAAGTAATTCTATAATGTATTATATTTCATATTTATTTATGAATGATTAATTTTGTGTACTCAGTTAAAATAATGAGTTATAGCCAGTTATTACTCAAAGGTAGTTCGAAGTAGCAAGAATCTACTGTGTATTTGTGACAAAAATTAAAAGCAGAAACTAAGAAAAATATCTGAAGAGACTGACCGGTTCCTTTTTTAATTTAGATGTGATATTGAAGTTTAATTGAAGCAAGACATTTTTTTTCTAGTTTAAATATTTAATTACACTAAAAGATAATTTCCTTTTCTTGTCAGCATGGTCCAAGAAAATAAAAGTAAACGGCAAATGATGCAGGGAAGATTCCACAACTTTTTAGACGCTCTTCATTGCAGACAATATAAAGTCCTCCACAAGGGGGCAGTAAAACATCATGACTAGACGCAGGCCTTGGGTTCTTCAGTCAGCACATGTTGGGCCTAGAGTAGATGTCCTCACTCGGTCGTCATTCATTTTTCCGCTATAAAATAACCAAATTAAACAACTACAAGCAACATGACACCAGCTGCGACTTTATTCAAAGGTTTTAACACAGTAATATCAGAAACACTTGATCGACTGGGATTTTGAAGTCATAAACTCATCATTTTGCCACCGATATACAGAAGCCACTTGACAAGTTGACATTTTGTTCTTTAATACTTAAAAGTACGAGAGCCAGCAGAAGCATACTGATAAACATCTGTTTGGAAAACTTCACAACAAGATAAATGTTTACAGAACAATTGTGCTGTGATATTTCTAGATTAAAAGTTCTACATCATCTATCAGAAAAAAAAGTTGCACCGTTGCTATGATGTCTTATTTAAGGTTAGTTTTGATCTCCACATAATTCTCACACACAAAATTCAGTTTGAATCACATGCTACTGACCTATGTTTCTTTGTTTTAAGAAATAAAAATGAACAGCAGGTATTTTTCATGTCACCTAAATTTACGCCAAAACCACATCACCAGTCCTGTGCATTGGTTCCTTTTGTTTTCTGCAACAGTAGCACTAAGAATATTTCACTGCAATGACCAAAAGGCTTTGGGGTTGGAAAATGATCACTAAGTCACAAGTTACTACACATACATACAAGGCAGAATCTGATCAAATTAAGCAATCGACAAAAGCAGCTATTGTCCGGAGACCCCTTAAGTTTCGAACAGTAGTGACCAGCACACTGTTTTTGTTATTTTTATTTTTCAAGCTTTAAACAAAAAAAAGCTTACTGTATGAGTTCACTTGGCTGTATAGCTGAATTGGAACTCTTCATTTGCAATTAAACACTGTACAGTTGTTAGGTACATTACTGAATAAAGACATTTTTACCTACAAGAGCTGGCAGCTAGTAAAAAAAATCACTACCACGGAAAATAAATTTTTGTTTACCTATTTCACACTTATTATTCTTAGTAGATTTTTCAAGATTTACTTACTCTTCCTGACCTGTAGTTTAAAAAAAAACATCCCTCCGCATTTACTGAATGATGTAAGAAAATCAAAAAATCTGGAACAAGACAGTCTGTAATAACTACATTATTTCTTCATTCAGCTTAAAAAATGCCTCTATGCAAAGGGTAACCTATAGGAAGTCAAGGCGCGGTGAATTGTTATATGTATGAGTTCATAGACATATCAACTTCTACATGACACTGTAAAACATCTTTACTTAGAAATTTCAGTAGCCCCTTATCCCATAAATGAAGATAGAGTTTGTCGAAACCTGAATTCACAGTACAAAAATATAATATGCATTTGCTGACTAGATATCATGGAGTCTATATGGTAAACAGCAGACTTATGATAGTCTTTCTGAGTCTTTTCCAAATCACAAGGCCCCTCTATGATCTTACAATACCATTTGGCACTTTGGCACACTGTGTACTCACACAACAACATGACGTTATGAAGCCAATAAAGCATGTGTGAGGATGAGTGTCAACAACTTTCAGGAGAGGACGTTTCTGGAATATCCAACCTTTGCTTTTTATGTGAAATGGGTATGTTTAAAGATGATGACATTTACACACAAACTCCCCAATGGCAAATTAGACAGCTTCTGCAGAGGTTTCAGTCGACACTGACATCGTCACTTTGGCTATTTTCACAGTGGTCTTCACGCAACTTTCTGCAGCCCTGTTGGCAGAAATGTTGGTATGCCTGTTCTGGCAGTCCGACTCGAGGCTGTTTTCCAATTGCTGGGCACTACTCCGGCAGATGCTGCAGCAGCTGAGGAAGGCACGGCGCAGGTCCTTGCTCCTCAAGGCGTAGATGATTGGGTTGACGGTAGAGTTGAGAAGACAGAGCATGCTGCAGAATGCAAACACAGTCTTTATGTCATCGTCCATCTTCCAGAAGAGGTCGTATACCATTATGGCAAGCAATGGGCCCCAGCAGATTACCAACACTACCAAAATGAGAACTAGGGTCTTGGCTAAACGGATGTCCATGCGTGCCTGTTCAGGGCGTGTGGTTTGCACTTTAGTCCCATCTGCTGAGTAGACAACAAGACTCTTCTGGGAGGCACGGCTCAGCATACGGACGGCATGGTGGTGTGCCTTCCAAAGGATGTATATGTAGGCATAGATGATGAAAATAACCAAGACACTGGTCAGGAAGATCCAAAACATCAGATAGTTCTCATCAATCAGGGGGAATATGTCTGAGCACACTGAGTTGAGACGTTTACAGTTCCAGCCAAGCAGAGGTAGCACTGCAATGATGATCGAAAGTGTCCACATCACACTAAAGGCTACGACAGCCTTGTTCCGTGTCACAATGCGCCTGTAGGCTAAGGGCCGGTGTATAGATATATAGCGATCAATAGCAGTGAGGAAGAGGCTCCCAACTGATGCTGTGAACGATGCAGTGACTCCACCCAGCTTGAAGAGAAATACATTTGGGCTGTCTTTCCTGTGGAAAACGTGAAAGTCCAAAAAGCTGTAGACGAAGATGACACTGCCCAGGAGGTCAGCTACGGCAAGGCTGCCAATGAAGTGGTAGGATGGACGGCAGCGGAGGGTGCGGGACTGCAGTATGACACAGAGCACCACCAGATTCTCCAGGACTGTGAAGGTACCCAGAGTCAGAGACATCACAGCCACAGCCAACTGCTGGCTGGGGGTTAGGATCATGAAACACTCCATGTCCATAAAGTTCTCACCGCATTGTATATTATTGGTCTCATCTCTAAATGTGGTCCTGTTGCCAAACAAGTCTGTGGCATTGGTAGGGAAGAATGGTATGCCCTTGAGGATAAGCTCTTCGTCTGCAGGTATCTTGTCTGGAAACGAGTTGCTGCGGAAAGCAGAAAGGGGCTTCTGCATGGATAAGCTGCCCTTTAAGTTCAAATCATTGATGTAGTCGTCGTAGTTGGCATCGTTGGAGCCAAGATACTGCAACCCAGATGTAATAGTCCGGAAGGTGGTGTCTGCCACCCCATCAAGCACAGATTTCATGGCTGTGTCTGAAGATAATACTGGAGTCTGAGATGACGGAAAACCTACAGATTGATAAAAAAAAAATAAAAAAAACATGTCAGATATCTTAACATCTCAATAGCCCTGAAAAAAAAAATGTTTCTCATATCTTTCTTTAGTGTTTTCGCAGACGAGTTACCTTTGTCTCTGATTCAGAAAAATTCCATGAACAAGAAATAACCTTTACATAATTAAATCAGTTCACTGCAAATGTTTAACATAGGATTCAAATAGCTTATCAATAATTCAAATCTAATTTTTCAACAAATTGGATTTAGTTTTTTGATCAGGCAAAAACCACATTTCTTGTATCTGTCTATTCAAATACTAAATTAGGCACCCAGTGCTCATAAACACAACATTAAAACGCCCTTTAGAACCAAACATGCTGAGGAAAAACAACCTTATTTATTATGTGGCTTCTCAAGCTAGAAAAATCTAGGTATTTAAGTGTCCAGATGATTTTGAAAAACAGGTTGCCTTTTTGAAATTTAACATTATTGTTTTACGTTAGACTTTTAACGACACCTGTTTCAATTTTGGTGCAATAATAGTTATGTCTTCTATAAATGGGAGAAGAAGAAAAAAAATATGTAAAAAAAAAAAAAAAAAAGGATAATACACCGAAAAGTTTAAACCTAATATTTATACGCAAAAAAGCAATTGAATCATCACTGCTAGTTTAATTCAAAGTCTTAAATAAATGAAGTGTGTTTCTTACCTTACATAATTCCTTTAAGTGGGCAGAATCGTTTTTTATCACCGTGCGTAAATCCAAGCCAGAAGCACATCACTGAACCACCAAAAAAATCTTACATGAAGAAAAAAAGCTGGAAACGCTTACGCCTTAAATAAAATATACATATTTAATCAGTTTCTCCCTATATGTTCAAATCTTGAAGCAGAAATTTCTGTGGAATTCTAAGTTTCGGCTTTTGGAGTGCGCTCTTTTCCTCTGGAAACAGGTTGGAGTTGTTGGTGTTGCAGCTGCCTCCAGCGTCTCTCCAGCCTTTTTCTTTGTGTCTTCACTCTTATGAGGCGTAGCATCTCCGAGCCTTGTCACGTGTTTTCATATTCAGAGCTTTGTGTGCCCAGCCCATGAAGCTATCAATCGCTCCATGGCGCATAGGAGGAACCCACACGACAGTGAAACGAGTAGGGAAAGGAATTTATTTAAAATCCCATTACTCAGCAACGGGAAAAAAACTGGAATAAACACAATCAGCACCGCGCGCAAAATGTATTTATTTAAACCAATTAGCTGCTGTTTTCATATGAACTGTCACAGATAAAGTTTAGCAGATTTTACAATGCAAGAAAAGAAAAGGTTTCCGACGTTATTTGCTTATGCAAATTTTGGTCAAAATGACCAGCAACAGTAAACAGAAAGCTGAAATAATTACTTGGTATTGACTGAAGGGTGTCAACATCAGATAGTGAGCCCTTCCTTTATCTAGACACCCAGTTAGCCAGGTTATGTTAATCATACAAGAGCTCTAAGGTACATCTATGCTTTAATGCCCCTGCAGAAGTTTCACCTCCTGCTCCACCTGTACTTATAAGGGGATGAGTTTCAGGCTGACAGGTTCTGGTGGATCATTACCGAAAAGATTGAGATACATCATATCAAACTAAGTGTCCTATGTAAGGTGTATAGGTGAAGGCTTTCTATCACCTTTGGAAGGGTTTGGAGTAGAGCATCTGAGTTGTTAAGGCCAAAGATGTCCATGTTTGTCCTAAGAAAAAGATCATCAAAAAGAACAAACCTCTGGGCATTTCAATTGGACATTTGTAAAGTCAGAAAGAAAATCCATACAAACCCTCAATTTTGGTGTTAGAAGTGTCTCTCAAAGACATACAGTCCAGCGCTCAGACTTTGATGAGTTTTAACAAAAGAATGAGTCAACTTTCAGTCTCCACACTCACACATCCAGCATAGAAAACAGTCCTGTGAAGCCTGTTGGATTTATTGAGTGAGGAGTGAAAGAAGTCGTCTACTTTAAACCAAAAGAAAACCATTAAACGAGAAAAGCTTTGTGGTTAACCTTACACCTTAACTGCTGACATTGGATGTTTTTTATTTGGAGGTGTCACAAGCTGCCATGCACTGAAACTAAAGACACTTTTCCTATAAAAAAAAATGCGCGTTTACGCATGTTTTTCAAACATGGGTCGACCCGCTAACTTCACGCTGGGTGGGCGTTGAAGATGTCACCAGTGCAACATGAATCATTAAAGTAAACAACGGAGAGAAACATGTAAGGAAGCCAGGGCGTTTTGCGCTTTATTGTTTTGCTCTTTTTTCCCCTCCAAATTCAGCTTCTACCTTTTTTATGTTTTTATTTTATTACACTGTCACAAGTACAGAGCAACGAAATTAACTCTCTCCATTTAACCCATCCTCTTTGAGAGCAGTTGGCTGCCATTGTGCAGCGCTCCGGAGCAGTGTGGAGTTAAGGGTCTTTGCTCAGGGACCCAGAGTGGCAGTCCATGGGAGTGGGGCTTGAACTCAGAACCTTTGGATTGCTGCGCCATGTTTACCAAATCTATACAGAGTTGTTTCGGCTTCTTAGATCAGAAGCAACTGGCACAGTGTGTTGATGCCCTTACGTTGCGTTCAATGGTGTCAAGTAATTTAGCAGATCAACCCAGTTTTGATGTTCCCAAGCATGCCGATTAGAGCAGAGTTTTTTTCAATGTGGGTCACTTGCTGAATCATTTGACCGGGTAGATACGCATCACTCAGATGTTCCAACTGCCACTAGAAGCCGATTGTTCCCAGCTTTAAACAGGTTTTTCAGCCACCAGGAGAGGGGTAATAAAGGCTCTTAGGGGGGCCGTATAGTTAGATTCACGAAATCTCTTCTCACAACTGAAGGTGAAGAGGAAAGGTTTAAGTTAATATATTTCTGAGCACAATGAAAAACAAATTGCAGCTTGTCAGAAGTTGTTCGGAGGCGGTAAATTGTACTCTCTGCAGAGCTGAAATGATTCATGCTTGTTGTCTTCTTTTTATACCAGTATCCCTTCTTCTCCAGAAAAACTGGACACAGCTACTTACCAGCAAACTCAATCACATTTGCAAGGCAACATTTAAGAGTCATATCCTGTTACGAATAAGACCAATAAAGATTGGGGCCTAACAAAAACAAATCAATGTTAGTAAGCATGAATGATCTCATTTCCACATATTCAACTGTGTTATTGTAGTGTAGACTCCATTTAACCATGTTTGCAATGTGTTGACTAAAAACAGGGGTTAAGTGACTTCAGAGATAAAACACAGCAGATGGATTAACTTGGCATTTTATAGCCACACACTGTAGTCAGAATTCAAGAGATTGTTTGAAAGCAAAATAAGGACATGATTCAGTTAGTCTCACAGGTGCAATTAACCAAATAGCTTAGACACATTTTCTGAAAATGGTTAAGAAAAACATAATTTCTCATATACACTGAAAGATTGCAATTTTAAGTGCTTTTTTAATAAACTAGCAAACTCCTAAAGAGAGAACATGTTTTATACTGTTTTTATCTTTGATACCAATAAAGATGATTTGAACAATTCAAACCTGTAACTTTATTAGAATGGATAATGGATTATTTTCCTTGACTGCTGAATTTTACACCTCCAGCAGAAGTGGCCAATGTATTGCCTTGTTCGAGGAAACATTAAAGCAGTGAGAAAAAGTGATATTCAAGCTTTCTCACCCTGCATGAAGGCTTGATGTATTGACCATAAAGTGCCCTGGAGAACATCACCCTCAGACACTCTTTTTATTCTGCAGAGTCTCTATTTGGGGTGGTGCAGTGCTTCACAGCATCATCTTTTCACTGCTTGTAACATATGTTGACTTCTGGGTTATGTTTACCACATTTCTGGGAGTATCTGCAGATGGGCCATTAAGTGGTTTCATGCAATTAACTTTATTGGCATAGAAGTGGAGCCTATAAAAACCGACTAACAGTTGATGCAATGTCTATAAGAGCATTTTCTAAGTAAAGAAACCTATACAGCTATAATGTATTTTGCTGTTTAGGAATTAGTCCTCGTATAAAATGTGCTATTGCACATTGCAGCACCAGTTAACGTTATACTATTGGTTTTCTGAGAGCTCAGGCTTATTTGACACAGTGTCGATGATTGTATTAGCAGTGAAAAGGATTGGTTCAATGATGTTTGTCTGCACAGGCAGCTGTTTACAGATATACTGTAGATTCTAACATCAGGACACTTTCATCTTTATTGGGGGGTTGCATTTGTCATGGCATAATATTCATTAATATTCATGCATTAAGCCAAAAACTGCTCCTCTCTCAGCTGCAAAGTAAACATTTACATTTATGAAAGACCATATTAATTTCAAAACATTATTATCTATAAATGTAATATTGTCATTGGGATTTTATTTGATATATAACAAAAAGTGGGATTTTAAAGTGGGAGAAAAAACCTAAAAGAAATCTAAATAATGTAAGTTTTCATTTTCAAGATTTATACAGTATGTCTGTCTTTCAGTCTTCTTTATAAGCTTGTTGAGCTTTTTAAGTGTTTTTCTCCGATGCTGTTACCCCAGCAGATGATGAAGAAAGAGATTACACTCTCCACAACAGACGATACTTAATAGAAGATATGCACCATCTTGCTACAAACACTGAATGATCTACCTTTTTTAAGTTGTTCAGTCTACCCTGTGCTTTCTTGTAGAAAACTTCTCAAGTCAAGTCTTTTCCCAGGGGTGAACACCAAGTTATTTATGCTCCTCCACCACCTCTACTTCTTCTGCCATGATGTAATAACATTCACTGCATTCCCTTTTCTTCTGAAATCTACAATCCTCTCCCTTGTTTTATTGACATTCAGGATCAGATTATTAATTTCACACCATGACACAAAGCTCTCTGTACTTAGCTTCTTGTCCATCTCTGATGTGTCCAACAACTGCAGACTCAACAGAGTATTTCTGCATTTACTTGAAGTTTAAGGTGTACAGATTAAACAGGAATGGTGAGAGTACTGCCCCCGGTGGCACTCCTGTGCTACTGAGTACCTTAATAAACAGTTGACCCATCAGTCAAACAGTTCGGTAGCATTTGATCCAATTTCTGGCAAAGTACATCAGTCTGGATTATGTTCAATGCATTGAATAATTGCAGGTAGCACATGATCCTCACAGTGCTACCTGCCTTGTCTAAAGGACAGTGGGTTTGTTGAGGCAGGTGTGTCATGGCATCTTCAACTGCAACTCTGCTGTTATTAGCAAACCGCAGGGGATCCAATAGCTGCTTGTTGAACCAACAGGAGTCTCTCAAGGACCTCCATGATGTGGGTGTCAACAAGGGTATAAAACTTTTAGACAAACATGAGTTTTCTTTGGTACCAAAACTAGGAAGGATGTGTTAAACATCACCAGGGCAATATTTTTCATCAGGATAAGGTAGAAGAGGTGATTTGGGGCACAGAGCTGCTCTGGCTTTGGGTCAAAGGAGGCTGGGATTTCCATTGGACTCTAGGCAGGAGAGAAGGATGCACAGCATGTTTCTTGACCTGAACCTAATGAAGAATGTGTTTAGTTTAGTTACTTAGTCCAGACCTCCATCTGTCTGATCCTCTTTCTGCCTGAAACCTGTGATGTCCTTCCTCCTTGACCGCACACCACTAATACTTATTTTATGGAGCATGCTTTCAAGCTTCTTGTTGCCTCCTTGCTTTATCTTAACTTGATCATTTTTATTTTTTACTATATTTTATGTTTTAATCATTATTTCCAAATGAGGTAAATATTGAATAGTGTTTATGACAGTAATTTTCAAGTCTTGCCACAGATTGCCTACTGGATTTTTGTCTAGACTGTCAATGGACCATTCCATCTCATGATTAATTTTGATCAATCCAATTTCATTGTAGATTCAGCGTTATATATCTAGATTTCCAGTATAATTGCCCTGTAAGTCTAAGTCTTCCTAAAATTTCTCCCCAGATTTTTTTGCAAATGTAAAACAAAACATCCATACAAAAGGATGTTGCTCCCACCGTGTTTG